GGGGCGGCTGCAGGCCAGCGCTGGCCGCGCCGGCGGGGGCCGCGGGGAAGGCCGTGGAGGTGAGTGCGGCGCTGTTGGGAGGGGCGCGGGCCAAAGGGCGCCTCGCCCGCTGCCCGGGGCTGGCCTCGCTTCTCGGGTCTCGGCTCTGCGCGCCGGCGGCTGCGGCTGCTGCTGCTGCAGCCTCTTTTTCACCGTCCTGGGGGCGGTGGGCGCGCGGGAGGGAACGAGGCCTCGGCCGCCCCAGTGCTCTGCGTTGCGGAGATAATCTGGTGGCCGCCCTGTCAGGGGTCGGCGGAGGACGCGAACCCGTTGCGGGTTGGAGGAAGGATCCCAGGGGTGTCTCCTGGAAAGCGGGCTGGGGAGCCCGGCTCGCGTCCTCAGCCCCCCACCCTGGCTCGGACTCTAGGTGGGTGCGAGCGGCCGAAAAACCCGCAGCGCGCTGGCTTCGGTGTTGGCTTTGCGGCGCGATTGGGGTGACGGGACCTGGCTTTTCAGCCCCGTTATTGTTGCGAACTGAAAAACCGAGATGTCCTCGTCCTTGGAAATTTTCTTCGACCGATGTTTGATCCTGGCTAAGAGGTTACCCCTTACCGTTTGTCCATCTGCAGCTTTTGTTTGGATCAGATTTCCATGGTGAGCCGTTTCCCAGACCTTCACGCAGAAATATTTCTCATATACAAAACGCTCTTCATTTGAATATTTACAAGGTGCAATTTGAGCTTTTCCGTGGATGATACGTTTTTTTTCTAGGTGTTTTGAGCTCAAGTATTTTTAGGATTTACTTTCTCATGTAATAAGCCTGGAAAATTGAGCTAGAGGGTGAAATACTGCAGGAAGGTAGACTAAATTGAGTATGAATTTTGCAGCAGGAATCAAGACTTCTTTCTTAATAAATGGAATTATAGAATTTTTGTAGTTTAATCATATTTTTCCTTTAAGAAAAACCTGTTACAAAAAGCAGTCAGGCTTACTCTATGATTTAGACAAAAAAGTATCCTCTGAAAAGTTCTGACCCAATCGGATTATAATTTGATAAATTATGATTTGAACGTGATACAAATATTGTGAATTCATAAGTACAGGGGGGAAATAGGAATCTTGTTGAAAGATAATGCTAATTTGTAGAAAAGTAATAGTAATAGTTACACTATACTAGGAGTTTTATATTATTTATTTTGGTGGTATTGAAAACAAAGACAGTATAAAAAATATTCCTGGAATAAAATATTGCCCTGATATGTGCAAGAGGGATAGCTTAAGTAAGATTGCTTCTTTTTTATGACCTGGTTTATTGCTGGCTTTCACTTTTTTCCTGGCTTTTTTGAACTGTTTATAACCTACCAATAAGTAAATCTTTTTACATAGCTGCAGTTTAATAGCATTAGGCTGTAGTAAATAGGTGTAGGTGATTTTAAATATTTGAAATCCAGAGTTAAGGAGACGATAATTCTTAAATTTGTGTATTGCTTTTAGAATGTTCAATGACCTTTCGCATACACAACCTTGTTTGATCCTTCAGTCCTCTTGGCTAGGAATGCGGAGCCATAAAGTCTTTCCCCATGATAGAGCATTTCAAGATTGTGTAAGGATCAGAATTTCCTTAAAGCTGAAATAATGTTGCCAAAGCAGGCTTTGATACAAATTGGAATTCTGATACATTAAAATTAGAGCACTGGGAACTATATAACGTATGACCAGCAATGTCAATCTGTAGCCTGTGGGCTGAATGCAGATAATTTGAGGCCTGTTTTGCTTATATATGGTGTTGGGTATTGTGGAAATTATGCAGACTGTTTTTTTGCTCATCAGCTTTAGTTAGTGTTTGTGTATTTAATGTGTGATGCAAGAGAACTCTTCCAGTGTGCAGCTGGAAAAAAAAGGTTGGACCCTCCTGCTTGACTGTTGATAAGAAAAGTGGAAGTATATAAAATGCTGAGTGATTTTTGGTGAGAAATGTGAAATGCAGTCATTTCTAAAGAGGGATAAGTGACACCTCTTTTTAGTGTAGTTTTTAAACTTATTAAAAGTCTATATGTGATGGCAGGAGCATTTGCACAAGCAGGAAACCTCTAGCAGGGTTTTTTTTTTGCCGCATATTGGAAGAAGAAGAGTTGTCTTGGGCCAAACCCTATGGAAAGCTGATTAGCCAAAAAAAAAAAAAAAAAGGTCTGGCTCGGCGCCTATAGC